TGTTAAACCGATTTCTAGCGACTTTATTGCACTTGCATGTGCTTAAATTATGTTTGTTTCCTGAAATTTTTCCTCAGACATTTGAGTGAAGTAAACGGGGAGAAAGCAGTTGGATATCTCAACAAAATTCATTGTTTTTGTGAAAACAGTGATATTGAAGAACAGTGGAATATTGCAGATGTGGTGTGCAGGAGAGTGCTTTTTATTCAGTAGGCTATAATATACTAAGCAGGGTGGAGGAGGTAAGCAGGAAAGTAAGTGTTCTTCTCATGTCTTCTCATCTTCTCCCACACTACCATTTCATTGCTGCCCAGCAGAAAGATAAAAAGTTAGTGGTGTGAGCGGGTGCTCTGTAACCCCGGTCGGGAGCCCAGGCTGAAATGTTCTGCAGTTGAGCAGTTCTGACATGAACAGGCAGTCGGTATCAGCTACAAATCTAAAGACTCCCTGCTCTCTGAATCTCATTTCGTATAGAAGGCTGAAAAATGGTCAATAAATGAAGTTCAGTATCATTTAATGGTGCCACCCTCAGCAGACCCTGCTGCTACATGCAGGTCATGATCTTGTTGGCAGGGGCCTGTCCTCTCCCCTACTGTCCCCTCCTTGTACTTGCTGTAAAAGACTCATTAGCTTAGCATTTAGTTATTTCTAGATGGCGGGTGGGTTTCCAAATCGGGGATCCATTTGCCTTCTGTAATTTCTGAGACTGGAGTGATGATGCCATTTTGCCAACCTCCTGGGCGTTGGGTTGAATGAATTGTCTCCCTCATCTCTCAAAGAAGTCTGTGAGCTCTAAGGCCCTAATGGAGTTAAAGGTGGAGTGAGCAATGAGGGATCGGAAGATGTAAAGAGGGGGTAGTAAGTTTACAAAAGAAGCCAGTGTATCTATGTTTTGTAGTGTTGTTACTTTAAACTAGTAAGCATTCTTGGAAGAAGAGAATGAGGCTTATCAAAGATTGATGTAGTAGGCAGTTGAGAGTTTCAAGATGCACTTGGAAATGAACTTCAGAATTTCTTTGTACAAGGCCAAAAGCAGACAACTGAAGGTTTGTGGGTGATGCATAGACTTTGAGAGAGCTTTCATTCTGCAGTTCATGATGTGTTTAGTATTTGCTGTGGCTGAGAATCCTGATACTTGTGAGTAAAAGTGCAGAGAAATGGAAATCTGTTTTGACATTGACCAATAAAGTAAAAAGGTAGTGCTGGCAAGAAACTATAATGAGATGGTAAACAAACACAAAATGTTGGAGAAATACAGCAAGTCTGTAGAGGGAGAAACAGAGTTAATCCTTGAGTCATGTATGACTCTTCCTTTATCTTGTGTTGGTTTCAGATTTCGGCATCCACAGTATTTTATTTTTATACTAATGAGACAGTGACCTGTTTTGTAGATTTGAGCAGAATTGAAACCAAACAGTGCCATGACTTTGTGCTTTTTACAGCTATCTCAACTTCGAGTTTTGTGAATATTGTTTCATAACTTCATCCCCTCTTGCAAATTGTTGAGTAAATGCCTATGTTAAACTAGTGATGAAGTACAACGCTCGTCACAAACCCTGTTAATTGTACAATGGCAGGGAATAGGGTAAAAAAAGCTGTGTCAAGTTTGTGTAGTTCCTGTTGGGAAAATGGCACTCTGTTGCAGTGAGTACTTATTCTATACAAGACATTCTAATTCTTCATAAATAATGGAAAGAAGTTGAAAAGCTTGTTGGCAGCACAATATACAGATCCCATGAATCAATTCCCTGAAACTAGAAAATAAGAACGTTGCCAAATTTGTTAGCCATTCTGCATCAGCTGTGGCTCAGTTGATAACACAGTAACTTCTGAATTGCACAACACCACCATTACAAGTCTCACTTTGGTGCTCGAGCACGGAAAACAAGGCTGACGTTTCAGTGCAGTACTGAAGGAGCAAGCATTGTAATATTGTAAGTGCTGACTTTGAACTGACATGTTAAACCAAGGCCTGAACCGCCCGCTCAAATGAATGTAAATTAAGAGTCTGTGGCACGATTTTGAAGAGGAGCAGTGCCCGATCTGCTGACCAGTATTTATCCCTCAATCAATATCTCAAAAAACAAATTGATTGGTCATTCTCCCATTGTTGCTTTGTGGAAGTTTGCTGAGTGCAAATTGGATTATGTGTTTCTTATATTACAATAGTGACTAAACTTAAAAAAAAACACTTAATTGTCTGTACAGCACTTGAGACCATTGATCTTAAAAAGCAAAATATAAATGCCAGAACTTATTTTCATTAAAGACTTTGCAATGAATTCTTAAAACATGAATCATATTTTTCAGAATTTTTGAGACAAATGAAACAATTAGCAGTAGTTCTAGAAAATGAGAACACTGTTTTAAACATGGAAAAATAAATAGAAGGAAGAGGACTGTTAATTGGCAGAAATGTTACTGCAACTTGGTTCTGGCATTGTATGCATGGTAGATCATTTGACCTTGCCTGACAAGCGATCAATGATATCACTTCTACTCTGTCAATATTCAATGGTTCATGCTATTAGAGCCCTACCTAGAGTGCCTAATATTAATTTTGATTTTGAAAATTTTATTGAAGTCATATTTAAGGTATTCGCTTAATCCCATCATCAAAAGGACCTTATTGCATGAAAGATAAATGAGGATGGTTTAGGATTGAAGGCTACAAGTGAAGAGAGTTAAAAAACAGAAACTACTTTCATTCTATCAAAGATAGATGCCACACACATTCCACCCATTTTCTCAGAAGTTTTTTTCAAAAAATAATTACAAACAGTCCATCTAACTTTGAAATGAGAGCATCAAAAGAGGAGAGAGCTGCGATATTGTTCAGCCTTGAGCAAAATTTAAGGTTGAAAGGATTTTCCTCTTCTATTTTCTTATCTCGTTTCTCTTTCCCTTCATGAACATAGTAAAGGGGAAATGAGATAATTCCTAGCTTAAGAAGTTTTTTTTTTCATTCCTTTCCATGTGTTCTGTCCAAAGACAGGTGCTTGGCTGCAGATGCTTCATCCTGAGCATTTGTTTGGTGGCTATTGTCAGTGGCGTTTTGCCATTGCCTGGCACTTTCTGAGGCAGGACAAGGAGATAGCTCCCAATTCTAACTCGGCTAGAACGAGAATTGAGCGGGCACCATTGTCCTTATTCTGAACCACAACCCGCCGAGCCAACTGAGGTGACCACCCCCAAGAAAGAGTAATATTTTAGAATTTCAGCTCCAACTTTGATATTTGTATTGCATTCCTGATCTAAAATAGTGTCTGTTTAGAAAGATGGATGCTGAGTAGAAGTAAGCTAATTAAGAGGACAGGCTGAAGAGGATTACTTTCTTTATAAGGGGCTAGTAGAATAGATTGTTGAGTACATTTGATTGCAAAATGTTTCCTGAATGGCAGAAATCATTGAATTGGAAACAATTTCCCTCCAATTCACAAGCCTTGCTGATTTGGAAATATACCTTTCATTGCTGCTCGGTCTAAATCCTGGAAACCCTGTCTTAAAGGCACTGTGTGTACCTGCACTACATGCACTGAAGTGGCACTGCCTACTCTTCCTGTTAATTCTTCGGGTAATGAGGATGCTTGCTATGGAATACAGTCTATCCTATAATCCTACTTATGGAGTCTTCTAAAGTGGGGAGACTGTTTGCTGCATGTGGGGTTCTCACTCGACTGGGAGACTCCCGCTCTTAATGCGTACGATAGACACATTTGTAGTTTTGTAACCGTCCAGTTTGGCCACGTTATCAACATATCTGTCATGGTCATGATGTCCTGGAGTGACACTCGAGCCCATAGCTTCTGCCTCAGAAGTGGGGATGCTTCCCACTGCACCACAAGGCCTTCCATCTGAAGCCACCTGAAGGTCTATTAGGGATAGAGAGCAGATGTGGACCTTATAGGATAGGTTCCCACCACATTAAAGAATAATTTTAAAAAAGCGAGGAAATTGATCTAGTTGAATTATTTGAGTGTTTTGGACATTTTTGGCTTGATATTTACCTAGAAGGGAAGAGATATCAAACAATGTTTCATGAAGCAATTAGTGGTTACTATAGAGATTGTGAGAAAACAAGTGGTACATTGTCAACTGGTTGTGTTGGTCTTAACAAATTCCTCTTCCTAGGCATGTTCTTGACAGAGAGTAAACTTTTTAAAAATTCATTCATGGGATAAGAATGTTGCTGACTAAGCCAGCACTTACTGGTCATCCTTAATTGCCCACAGGGGAGCCAAGAGTCAAAAACATTATTGTGGGTCTGGAGTCACAAGTAGGCCAGACTAATTAAGATTGGCAAATTTCCTTCACTAAAGGTTAAATTTTGAGGACAATCAAAAACAGTGATATCTAATTCCTCAGTGAAATCTGAATTCACTATCTGCTATAATGGCATTCATGCCCATGACCCCAGAACATTAGTGTGGTGCTCTGGATTACCAATTCAATGACATTACCACGACACCACCAGCTCCTCTATCTTCCTTTTGACAATCAAAATCGAAGCATGCACATTTCATGCTAAAGATTAGAAGAAGAGATGCCGGATTTGAAACCTTAACTCTATTTCTGTCTCCATAGATGCTGCCAGACCGGCAGGATTTCTCCAGCATTCTCTGTGTTTGTTTCTGCTTTACTTTTGTGCAGTTGGCCTGTGTTTCAGGGACTTCATTTTTGCAACCCGCCTCTCAAAATTCTGTTTAAAACTATTGATGGCTTTGCGAATGTTTCGTATGACTGATCTTTGATCTTTGTTCTGGCCTTGTAATCTTCCATATGAACCTGTAATTATTGAGTGTGGAAATACTTACTATGATTGAATAAATGGAAATGAAATGCAGAAATCCACATGTTCAAACTGCCAGTTTTGGAAAACTAAATATTGTATTAGATTACAAAACACATTTTCTGTTGTTCAGTTTTGATTTTCAAGAAGTAATGTTGAAATGAGGAATAAACAGGTAATGTGTTAAATGTATATTTTTTTTTAATTTCAGCTCACCAGTGGAGAGGATATTCATTGAGGCTGGCAGTTTTAATGTGGCACAGGTAGAATTTTAATTTCTGTTTACTGACTGAAATGATCAACCTTTTCACTTCATTGATGAACCATAATTGTTAGCTAACATTGTTGTATAATCTTATTCACAGTGTGATGAAGGATTAAATGTTTGTCTATGAATTGTTTCACTTCCACAATATTCATTCTTTTCTTTGGATTCAATGGGTAATTACCTTGATATCACGTACACTTGAATCTTTGATCCTCATGTTGGACTGGGAAAATGCATAGTGAGATAAGGAATCTGACGATAATTAATTGTTTAGCAACGTTAATAACCACAATGGCAGATCAACAGCAAGCAATCTTCAATTGCAAGATAAATTTTGTAGTGATGGTAACGAGGTCAGCCAGGTGGACCTCATAGGTTATAAGTTCCCTAATTGGGACTGTTAACCAAATCCAATTAGGAAGCCCAAGGTGACAGATAGAAACTGGAGTCTGAGGTTCTGATCACTCTAAGGGCTGGTTCTGAGGAAGTTGGATCAGTATCAAGGATGTTCTCTGTGTAAATAAAGGGAGACTTGATGATGGGATACCAGCCTCTGTGGAGTTATTTCAAGCACCCAGACTTTTTTTTTTCCCCAGTCTGACATACTGCTATGCTTTTGAAGCTGCAAACAAGTACATAGTATTCGTGATATATTTTAGTCAGGGTTTGCATCAATGCAGAAAATATCCACCTTTATATTTCTAGTCCTTTAAACATGAAGGTGAACGTTCCCTTACCCTTTTTTTTTTTTGATTCTGTCTTTTGTTCCAAGTTCCACAGTTTGATAATGTGTGTACGTGGGTGGTAACGTTTCTTTTGGACTTGCCAACATACCTTGCTCTTCAATACTTGGTGATTAGATCAGTCCTCCTTTTTCTCCTTTGGACTGGATTGATTGACCTCCTAGTTGCTTATATTGAAACTTGCCTGTCACAATTTTACCCACTCACTTCAACAATCAGTTTCTCTTTGTAGTGTTATGCTTTCATTTATTTACATCTACTCCAAGGATCTGGTTCGAGTATGAAGGTGTGGTGGTGATATTAAATAGATTTTGCTTTTGCAAATAATAGTGTAATTAACAGTACAGAAATACAAAATGAGAAAGCAGAGTCATTGCTAGGGATAGATGTTAATGAAGTTCTGGTTCTCAAAATATAGACCATAAGTTGACTAAGTGATTAGGCCCTTCCACGATTGCATACAAGCTATTGAAGCATGTCAGTGAGGATATAGAATAGGTCTGAAGGAAAATTGGGAGATGGCCATCTGAAACCTCTGTTAGAGCAAGGGAATGAAAACCTTTGTTCAATCTGACAACAGTTGTAGGTATAAATACAAAGTGCTGAAAATACTCCGTAGGTCTGGCAGCATCAGAGAACAGAGTTGACATTTTCCACTAAATTTTGATTCTTCAGCTCCAAAGCAAAGTAGAAATGTTACGCTGGAGCAACGGGGAGGAAGGCCAAAAGGAAAGATCTGGGATAGCATAGAGAGCAGTAGAGATTAACTAACAAAGATGTCATGGATCAAAGGGAATGGTAATTAAACAAACATGTTTTTTTTTCCTGAGTGAATGTGCATGGCAGAATAATGAGCAGCTTGGTCTGAAAGCAAAGCAATATTGAGGCAGGCATGTGGCAAAAAAAAATCAAAACGGGGAACAAGTTCATTGCTCAAAGTATTGAACTCTTTGGCTTTCTGGACTTAACATAAAGTGCCTAACTGAAAGATGAGGTGAGAGTTTATATTGAATGTCACTGGAGTGCTGTAGCAAGTCAAGGATGGAAATGTACGTGACAACAAGTAACTTAAAATGGGAAGCATCTAGAAGCTCAGCATCACGCTTCTAGATACTCTGTGAAGCAGTTCCACAAAGCATTCCCGCAATCTATGTTTGGTCTCCCTAGTGTTAAAGAATTAGTCCAAAAGAAGTACAAGTAAATTGCTGCCTTGGAATGTAAGGAGAGGTGATTTTAATTTAATAGATGCAAATCGGTTCTAATGTGCAAAGTAAAATTTAGTTTCTATCATGCCACAAGTGACAGGGTTACATGTTCAGTGCAGCTTTTTCAGACACCAGGTGGACATGCTGTTAAAATCCACTATTTTTTTCAGATGATAGGCCTATGTTATCCTATATCTGAGGACCTATAAGTCTGTGAAGGGCTATCAGAAATGGATTTAATAGTATAAATGCAGGAAGCTAGCAAATGGAAGAATGATTGAAAGTGTTTTGTTAAATCATTACAACTACTGTGTTGTTCACAGATAATTTATCATAATTCAACTGGTAAAGCTGAGCTTTGCATTGAAGTTTTCATTTTGGCAACGGCAATATGGTGGTGATAGATTGGGAAAGGGGGAGGTACAATGAGACCTGAGTGTCCCTGCACATGAGTTGATGAAAGTAAGCACGCAGGTGCAGCAGGTGATGAAGAAAGCAAATGGTATATTGGCCTTCATACCGAGAGGAGTTGAATACAGGAGCAAGGATGTTTTGCTGTAATTGTACAAGACCTTGGTGAGAACATGTCTGCAATGTCTTGAGCAGTTTTTGTCTCCTTTATCTGAGGAAAGATGTTCTGGCTATTGCGGAAGAGCAATGAATGTTTAGCAGACTGTTTCCTGGGATGGCAGGACTGATTAGGACCGCACTCATTGGAGTTCAGAAGAATTGGCTGGGTGGGGGGATGTCTCATAGAAGCCTATAAATTTATAACAGGGCTAAAAAGGGTAAACATGGGAAGGATGTTCCTGTTCACCACTGCTCACAGTCGAAGGACATGGGGTAGGCTGTTTAAGACTGAGACAAGGAGAAATTTCTTCACCCAGAGAGTGGTGAGCCTGTGGAATTCTCTGCCACCAAAACAGTTGGGGATTCTGAGCTGTGAATGGAAGGTTTTTTGAGGAAAAGCAATCCATGACAGTCCTTTGTTTGGTGAGGGGATAACAAAATAGCTGAGATAAGAAAATATATCATGATTGAGATGTATAAAATTATGAGGGGCTTGACAGGGTAGACAAGAAGGAACTTTTCCCCTTGGTGGAGGGTTCAGTGACCAGCGAGCGTAGATTTAAAAAGCAGAATGTTTAGAGGAGCTGAGAGGAAAAGCTTTTTTACCCAGAGGGTGGGGGGAATCTGGTACCTACTGCCTGTAAAGGTGGGAGAAGCTTGATAGACCAAATGGCCTCTTACTGTGCAGTAGACCTTGATGACTGCTCTGTTAGATTCTCGGGCAATGGCAAAACCATTTTCTTAGTCTGGAGGCCACAATGATTTAAACTTTTGAGTAGAACCTCCCTTTGTGTGACATGAGATCTTTAATACCAATTGTGTGCTGTAGGAGTGCAAAGTGACCTAATTACATTCTGTGAGCTGCTTACTTGTCCTGGGAATCTGCTATGATTAAAATATCTGCATCTCCCATCATGAGCTTCCTACAGGGAACAGGAATACATATGTTCGGGCAGTTTGAACTCTATCCCTCTTTAGTTGCAGTGAATCTACTCCCTTTAATGGACATCATCTGTGCAAGTGAATCGAGGTCTCAATGTCACAGCAAGACTGACTCTTAACAAAAAAAAGTCGTGGGAACTTTTTGTAGAACATTTTTTTCCACAAGCATTCCTCTTGGATTTCTATCCGTGTTTTGCTGCGTATATTTGAGTAAGCTGCATTATTAAACAATATTAATGCATTTAACTTAATAATTAATCAAGTTATTTTTGCATGTGTAGTCAATTGCAGCAACTGTGGAAAAGGGCACTTGAGTGTGAAAATTGTATAGCAAAGATCATTGATTCTACTGTTCTCTTCTCATAATCTCAGTTCACATATTTTAAGAAGCTAATCAGTAATTTACTTGCTGCAAACAGAGATTTGGTGGGAGGTCAGGGGCTGTATACAACTGAGATTTCAACTATCCTTTTCACTAATTCCTCAATTTATGCTGCATCTCCTGGAACTTGCCAGTGAAAGCAAATTGAGAAGATGGTGACAATTGAGGGGGCTGAAGACGTGACAAGGAAATGTTGGAAATCTAGCATCTCAAAAGGCTCAGTCTTATATAGGGTCTTATCAGACATTTGCAGCAGGCTGGGGCAAAGCTTAAGGGCTATACTGTACCAATGACAAAGTCACAACTACCCTCAAATTGTTTGCTTCTTGATTCTCCCAGGGCTTTGCTGGTGACATTTGCAGGATCTCCCAGGGGGTAGCCCACAGATGCATGAAATAAGTGACTGATAACCTCTTTGCCACACCAGGAAATGATGTCAGTTTTGCAACTGGCGATGTCTGGATTTTCCAGAGTGGCTTCCTCCATGTACAGCATATTTGAGAAAGCATATGGCAGTTTAAATATCCCATGATCATCTCCTGGGAGTGCAATTTTTTCCATTAAATTACAGCTGGAGTGCATCTGGAGTACATGGATGCATTTATGCAGATATATGAAAAAATTCTCAGGTAGCTACCATGATACGTTTGTCCTGTAATAGGCCAACATCTCTCATCTTTGTTTTAACCAAGAATTTGGTTTGGATGCTTGTTTTCACATGTTCACTGATCAAATTATTGCTATGCTGAAAATGAAATTCAGGTGTTTAGACAAATTTAGAACACCCCTCAGGATGCAATGCCCTTTGTCACTAGAATGATTCTTGTTGTTTTGTGTTCTGTACAAACAGCAAGGTTTTGTTCTACAGGTCAAACAAAACACAGTAGGCAGATCCTGTTCAAACTAGTCCATGAAGGGGGATGTTGAAGTAATGCAGCTTAAAGGATCTGCAGTGGTACACATTGTTGCCTGGGATGACTCCTTGATTGCGTGATTCCCTTGGCTTCAGCCAGGCCTGCCCATCTGACAACCATAGAATAGAACATTTCCCGTGCCTCCATCTCCCTCCCTCAACGTGAAGCAGTCATGCAACCAGTTCAAGTTTTGCTTCGTCACAGGTGGGTCGCTTGGCAAGCAGCAACCAAAAATGGGC